TTTCTTTTATAATAAAAGGCTTTTTTTAATGTATTTTCAATTTTTATAAACAATTTATTCGCAATCAGTTTATTTGTGCGGTTGTGAATGTCCCGATGGTCAGTGCACATTCAGTGATTGACAGGACTAACCCCTGATATAACATTACAAGAAGCCGTTATTCAAAGCTTGCAGTAATCGTCGGTAATCATAACCTTTATTGCGAAATGATATTTCTTGGCTTTTGTTATAATGTGGTGTACGTCATTGTTTTATTTAAATGTTAGGCATTCGCTTCACGTCCACATCACAGTTTTAACTCGGACATTTGTATTTGGAAAAGATGATTATTTAGTGACTGCCGCTTTGGAGGTTGCACCAGGATGATATGCAATATAACTCCTGTTATAGTCCCAAAACGATGTCTCCCCTGTTCCTGCCCTCTTGGTACACGAGGAGATCATTCGCATATGATAGGGTTCTTCCTTTACCACTTAGTTGTTCTCATGAGATCGTGACCATGTAGATGTTAAGGTAAATTTGAGACAATGAAGGGAGGGGTCCTGTGACAAACCTGGGCTTACTGTTATTGGTTCTGAAGACCAGCTACCACATTGAAGCACCAATCTCCTCTGAAACAGTGCGGCAGTAATCTATCAAATGAGACGTAGGGGGACGCTGAGTTCCATTAGTTTACATATTAGTAGGTGAAAGGTGGCTTTGTTGCATGCATATACAAGATATATCGCGGTTACACGCGTTTTAACGCCAGCTTGAAAACCGTCCTATGTGTCGCGTGTAAAGAATGCAGAGATACCCATGACTCCGTGTTTTGAATCAATTCTCCGAAAGTTTGAAGCAAAAGTTAATGTGTTTCAAGTTGGCTTAGCAACCTTCTGGCTATTATCTTTTCTACTGTTTTGCCTAGTATGTTTTGCATCATAATGATTCTATAGCCATTTATGTGTGTGCTATATTTACCATGTTTTTCTAGCAGAACAATGTAGCTAGGCAGTCAGCTTTCTGGGTGGTGCCATAACAGATGGTGTCGTTGCAGGTTATCTCTAACCTATCTCCATAGTCTATAAAATAGACCAACATTGATTTATGAAATGTAAAGTAGCTATCAGACATCGACAAAGTGTCCACTACTCCTCCACCATTTACCAAGACGCATGACAATAATGATATCTTTGGTTATTCTTCGACAGTCTTGTATGGTTTGCTCCGGCTCATTTTTAAATTAAGATTGTTCCCACTTAACACAAAGGCAAATACGTTGTCGATGACTGAAAAATGGTGTATGTGTATAAACGTCTACAAATACTGTTTACGAAAGCCTTCTTTTTTCACACACTCACATAAATAAATGTATACAGACATATACTGTCACATAAAAACAATCAAATATTGCAACGCTTCGAAAGATTTCCTACGCTCACTTAAGAACAAAAGAAAGACAGATGACAATAAATACAAGAAGGCTTCAAATATATTCTGGGAAAGAAAAGTAAAGAACAAATGTATCATATTTTAAATGCAGTACCACTCAACCATTCAATGCAAGTCCCGCAGAGCCGGAAAAAAATTCTTGGATTCCTTTAGAAAAAAAAATTGTGCTTGGTCACATATGTAACCACTTATGCACCACTCATAACCACTCATACACCACCTGCTGTACCTTTTCATTAGATCGGAAAGTCTTTCTAGCCAGGAGTTCTCTGAATTGCTCAAACTAGTGGAAATTACTCGGGGATAGGTCCAGCGGATACTGGAGATGTGTTACACACTGTAAGTGGAGGTATTCGATAGCTTCACCTGCAGCACGGGTATTATGGGGTCTAACAGAGAAAATACCTTGGCAGCTGGAAATCGAAAAAGAGAAGCCTACTGGCGCTGCCGGAGCAAAATTTGGAGTTAAAATCTACCCAAAGTATTTCAGGATCCTCGCCGGTGCAATGGAGTTCGTGCACTGTGCCGAGATCCCTCAGACTCAGGCATGAGTTAAAAGTAAAACAGAGCACTTATGGGTTACACCCGTGTGCCATGATGTTGATTCGCTGAATAAACACTAAACATACACGGAACACCGTTACTCATAAGTCTACGTCGTTTATGTGCTCAACAATCTTGACAACAAAACTGACAAAAGAATGACATGGTTACTTAAATTTCTTACACACTTTAAAATTTTCTTTTGGAGCTCTTTTGTATACTGTTTTGAGTGGTGGCAATTTTTTTTGCTTCTGCCAGACGGTGGCCGTTGCATTTTTGCTCCATTTGTAGACTTGTTTATTGGTCGCCTAGCTTCTGAGTTAAGTGCATGGCATGACACTTTGAGCTGCGGATTTCATTTGGAATGTTTTTCGACTGTGACCAACGTGGTAATGTGAATAGTAGATTCAGAAAATGGCGCGATGCCTGTTGTCGCAGTATCGGTGGTGCCATTATGTGATTAAAATTGATCGCGTGGGCAACTGCTGATCTGTTGGTGACTTCTGCTACCATCAATGATGAACTTCATTTCTAATGTCGGACTATTTGTGTTAGCACTTCGGATGGCTGCCGTATGCTTTTAATGCGTGTGTATGCTAGATATGCTGAGACAGCAGTCTGTCAGTCTTTCCACAAGGTACTGGGATACAAATTTTGTGTGTTTTTCGCTGGTACAGGAGCGGAGCAACTAAAGGGTGACCCGTTTGCTATGAAGTCGAAACTAAGATTACCAGATTACCAGACAGGAAGTTACTATTCGTGTCACCAAACGCAAAAGCTTCCGTTTGTATTTTTGAATGTTGAACCTGTTCGTTATATCATTTCCGCTAGGCATGAAGTCTCTGAGAATCTATCTATTACTCCTTTTCCCCCCTGCCACACACTGCCACCCCTAGATAATGGAGATTTCTGCTTTTAGATAAACGTGTTGTCATTTTCGTATTGTGTTTTATATAATCCTTGTTCGAAATGATGTTCATTTAACTAAACTTCTTCTTTTTCTTCGCGTTCACCAGCTGTACACTCTAGCGGAAAGTTCTGGTAGCTCGTCCACTACTGAACTGCAGTCCTGCTCCAGAACCTGAGTGTTGCGTGTGCATCAGTTTTACATATCTCGTTCTCTTTAATACAGACTGTTGGTTCCTTGCCTCTCCGGCAGATGCACTCCGACTTCAAAGGAAGCTCCCCCAATTAGTCGACTCTTACGACATGCTTTTGGGGAGGCAGTGGGTCTATTCTTGTTTTCCCCACAATGGGGCCACGGAACCCACACGGGGGATTTGACTAAACTGTTTACATAGTTTAATCTAAAAATTCTCCAGTTGCGGCTCTTGGCATTCCAGGGCTATTTAATCTTGGGCCACACGTGTCTCTTCATTCCACCGGCTAGACAGCAACGTGGCTGCTTCGGGTATACAGAGATTTTGTGGATTCATGTAGTTTTGCTTGATTTATGTATGTGCTGATGTAGGCTCTGTACCGATATGTTTACTTTTAGTTTGTGTTTGTTATATTGTGAAGCTAGCTGATCTACTTTTTGTTCAGTTGTGTATCTTTCCATCAGTTATTTAAAGACAGATCCCCTGATCATCCCGAATGAGCCCCTCCAAACCGCGATGATCGCAGTGCTTCTGCGATTCTCTTCACAAGCTCCCAAGGGCCTTAACTACATCTAGCTTGTTATGCATCAGTTTACCCCCAAATTGGTGCAGTATCAACCAAATGGACGTTTAGCATCAGTACATTTTCGAATAACATTATGGCACTAGAGCATTGGCTCTCAACCCTTTAATACAATTTCCTCATTTTATTGCGACCCCCCCCCCCCCCCCCAAACAATTATTTTCCTTCATATGTTCAATGAATATGTGTTTTCCGATGGTCTTATGGCTTCTAAAACAGGTTTTCATTTCAACAGAGGGTCTCAACCCATATGTTAAGAACCGCTGCACTTAAGTATTCAAAAGAACGGATAATTATTTTAGGATAAACACTGAAGGAGGATTTCCAAGGCTAGAAAACTGGATAGCTTGCTTGTCTGCCGACACAATGATCATGTATTTGAATCCACTTTCAAACGGGCATGTTTTCATGATCGGCGATAGAGTAGCACATTGGTTTACCGGAAGACGATGTCTTCGCCTGTCGGGACAGGAATTGGATCTGTCCCCTTTGATGGCATCAACAATGCAAGTGTCCTTTTCAAGGTTACTCGGTGGCGAGCAATGCTAAGCCATTTTTTATGGCGCAAATAACATAGTCACAATAATAACCCAAAGCTCCTCTTTCGGTGATGCTGGTTGAACACGACGATTTTTTTTTAGCACAGCAACGGAACAACAGGCATGTTTCTGCTTACAAAGATATCTCGAGTGACACAGTATAAAGAGGGTTAAGGAAATTATCTAGGAAGTAGAAGCAGCAGGCGTGATATTGTCCACATCTCCTACCTAGTGCCGTGTGATCTTAAAATTACGGAGTTAAAACCATAACCCCGGTAAGTCTCAAGGCACAAAAACGATTCTTTACTTTCTACTTTTTCACTTTACCATTCACAGCTACTATTGTTAACAACAAATTCACATTGACAATTGTCAACACATTCATATTGACTATTGTCAAAGAATTCACATTTACTATAGTCAACAAGTTCACATTGACTATTGTCAACAAATTCCCATTGACTATCGTCAACAAATTCACATTTACTATTGTCAACAGATTCGCAATGACTATTGTCAACAAATTCACATTGACCATTGTCAACAAATTCACATTTACTATTGTCAACAAATTTGTCAGCACACTCATATTGACTACTTCACAACGCCTGTTGATTTTATACTCATTCCCACAAATTCCCGAAAAATATTTTTTTTTTCTAGCTTTTTTTTTCTTTCAAGCAGTCCTAATATAACTACAACAGCAGAAACAAAACAAAACAAACACCTTCTATCGGCTTCCCAACCATTTTCCTAGTGCTAGGAAAAATAATGAGCCAATTCTTAGCAGTCAACGCATGAAATTTATTTAGTTTGTTTTCTACACCTAGATACATTATTACAATTGGAACAAATCATGTTCATGAACGTTACCCTAAACTTTGAACTCATGCTAAAATATATAAAGATGTTAACACCAGCGTTAATGGATTCCAGATGAAATAAAAGTGAAAAAATTGCAGTTATCACATTCTTTTGAAATCCATCAATTCGTAAATCGGTATCTAGTAACATGACCACAAAAACAGCTGCTCCGGGGAAGTAACAAATAATGAAAATGGTAGATATTAGTACCACCATTTTGACTACTTTACCATCTCTGTCAGCCATGACAGTTTTGGCAGTGGAGGTGGTAGCTTTTCGACGCCATTTTGATTTCTTTCTCAAGGTTGAGACAAGAATTGCGGTGCAAATTGCCACTGTGCAAAATGCCAATGTTGGGATTGTGTTGTTTGTCATGAATGTGATGGCCTCTATTTTGTTTCGGTCCTCCAAAAAGAATATCCCAAACATGGTCCTGTTTTTTGACGGGTCAAAAATGTTGGCTGGTCGAGCAGCGTAAAAGATTGGACAGACGCTTGCAACCATGAACACATAGACAACAACAAGATACAGTACTGTCCTCTTGGGCGTAAACAAATTCTTGACTTTCAGGGGTGCAGTAACACAGAGACATCTCTCTAACGTGATGTAAGCGGTTATCCAAGTGCTGACTCTGGTAAATATTAGATGGCACCAGGTCGAAATATACATGACATCACCGCCGACAAACGGGAGATCCAACGCCATAAAATCTGGCATAAAGGAGACATTTGCATAAAGCAGCGTAATCAGGGAACCTAGGTCGGATGTGGCCAGGCCCAAGAGGCTTATGTTGACAGTGTCACGGACGCCTTGTTTAGAAAAGACAACAATGTTGAGAATATTTGTGATTATTCCAAGAATGCAGACGGCTTGGGCAGGACCCCAGAAGTTGACTAAGAGAAAATAGTAGAGAGCTTTATCGGTTAACAATACGTGTCTTGTAGGAGTGTTTACCAGTTGATTATGAACTTCACTGTTGGCGAGTTTTGTTAAATTTGTGTTAGACATAACGAATGAAATAATCAGACTGAAAAATTTGGATTGGAATGTCAGTTTCTCTTGGTCTCAACCAATTTAATTGTAAATTCCACCTTTACATCTACATGTTTACAGACTGTATTTTATTTATTTACATAGCACAGATGGAAAACACAGTTTCGTACGATTATGTAAAGGTGATGACATCCATTCACCACCACATTCAAGTGCTAATTTGTCATTATCTTCCACTATTATACGCATAGTTATACAACGGTAAATAATGAAATATCGAATATTTCTCATGACACATCTCGAGTTATGTCGTTAATAACAGCGGGTATTTCTTTATTAGATGATAAAAGATTCAAAATACTGATTTGGATTGTTTCCCCTAGGACAATATTGTGCTAAGCATTCATACAGATTCCATCATAAAATCACTGCAGTTTTTCCCGAAATAATAGATTTCATGTGAAAGCACAAAGTAAACTCACGAACATTTATGAAAAATATGGTAATTTGCCTTCAACTACTAAGACGTAAGCAAGGTAGGTGCTTAAATATGGCCATTGTGTACTATTTCCAATCTCAGTTTTCAATTATAATTGTTTTCTGTTAGTTAAAAAAAAAGTGTGTGTGTGTGTTGGGGGTGGGGCTGTCAACAGAACGTCAACAAAAATAATATAATGAACCCAGAAGCGACTGCCCTCAAATTTCCACAGGAATACATACTTTTTTCAATTATGCAACGTTTATACTCATTGATTATATCTATTAACTCTACACTGAGGAGGAAAATATAGTTTACATTTACTGTCAGTGTAGCAACGTATGTTTTCCTGAATGTTTTCTTCAACAATTGTTTACAGTTGCAAAATTATATGTCCGTGAATTTAAGTGTATATTTTATCCTGTTCAGCTTCTCCGTCCAGTACCTGTTTATTGTGCCATGTATTGATTATTTCTAGTAACTTCAAGTTAAAGGACTTATGATTATTTTTGATTTTTATAGTTTGTTTGTTTGTTTCTTTCTTTCTTTTAAACCTACAATTTTTTTAGGCTATACTTCACTGGCAATATAAACATGTTATTTTCAAACGTATGGCCTTTGTTAATTGTTTGGTACTTCGTTTTTTTTTTTTAAATTTATCACAAAATTTAAGATTACAGATTCTAGAAATAGTTTCTTCAAGCAAAAAAGCAATATAAGAAGCAAGAAGCAAACAAGCAACAATGTCCCGGCCTGAAAATGCGAGCACTTTAGATTCAGTCAAGTGTTTAGAGTATGAAACACAACAGCAATAAAAGTAGTTATCAGCTGTAGTCTGGCAAGTGAGTAGTCTCATCAAATTTTGCTTTGATAACCAAGATAGAAGAAATACTGACATCTTGAAAGATCTGAACATCAAGGAAGATTGGCTAATAAACAGCATCCCGTAACGGAAGCTGAAATATTTTGGTCACATCAAGCGCCACGACAGATAAAAAAAAATTATAGCAGAAGGCATGGTACCAGGAAGGAGAGGCAGGGGCCGACCGACACGAAGATGGGCACAGGATATGACTCCTTGAGTATGAAAGTACATGAGGCGGGAGAACTGGCGAGAGACTGAGTTTCTTTCAGACAGACTGTGACGAGAGCGACGTTCTGCAAAGGACCTGCTAGATGACGATGATGAACCAAGATGGGCCCTGATATCCGTAACGAAAGTTACCAGGAGCACTGACATTGAACAGAGGAAGGGGGAGAAGTGTGAGGGGGAGGTAACCTCAACACCAGACCCCCCCCCCCCCCCGCTCAGAATAATCAGGTTCTAGTACTCATCATTAAGTGTTTAAAAAAAGCCGGTTCTCACTACAACACGCTTCGTAATGCCGGGTTGCCGGGTTCGATCCCAGCTGCTGGCCACGCGCCTTGCGTTGGTTTCGACAGTGGTATCAAGAAAGCCGACTGTCCAGAATGGAATGGAAAACTACTAGACGAAAATTTGCCTAGAAAAATCACAAACCAGCCAGGGGCTGTTGGGGTTGGTTCTGCAACGTCCTGTAAAGGATACGCAACTAACCTAACTCACTACAGAGTGTCTTTTACAGTGGCGCGAAAAGAATTATGCCCCAAACAAGTTCTGCTACTACGTACAATTGCGTCCCAACAGACAATGAAGCTCTGGTCAACACCCTTCACATTTTCAATAGGAGACAACGACTGTCATATCATTGTGCGTAATATTAATGATGGTAATTTTAAAAATACAAATAATATTAATAATGTGCTGAACGATATCATCATCATCATCTAGCAGGTCCTTTGCAGAACGTCGCTCTCATCAATTTCTGTCTTGAAGAACCCCCGTCTCTGGCCAGCTCTCCCGCCTCATGTACTTTCATACTCAAGAAGTCTCTTATATCCTTTGCTCATCTTGGTGTTGGTCAGCCCCTGCCCCTCCTTCCTGGTACCATGCCTTCTGCTATAATTTTTTAAAATTCGTTGCTGAACGATAACTATATCAAAATTATGTCTTTCAGATAATATGAAATTATATGCGCAAATATTTCAGAACTGAAAAAACAAACGAACTGTTTACAGTGGTTAGTGGAAGCCTTAGCCTCTTAAAAATATATAGCAGTGGGTGCTGGGAGCTCTACAGCAGATATGGGACGCCGAAAACGAGACTCGGGTCCAAAAAAGGCAGTTGCTGCAAGGCCCGTGGATCGGCCTCGAAAGCGCCTTGCCACGAATGCTCACGTAGATTGAGATCTGGTGAATGGCCCCGCTGTGGCTGAGCTTTGTCGTAAGATTTGCGTACGACATACCCATTGTGCAGAGCTAAACAGTCGCTCCAGCACGTATTGTCCGCGTGCAGGAAAGCCCTAGTCCAGGGACAATATACTTGGTGCCACAAAAAAGTCTTGAATGAGTTAGCGGACATTCTGGACCAAGCCAGGATGAGGGCGAACGCGAGATCCAGTTTTACCGTCACCCCCATGCGCTTCCTCAAGGCTGGGCAGATTAATAAAGGTAAAATCAACAAGGTCGCATACGCTCAATCAATACTTGACTATACGGTAGACTGGTTATTGGCTATCGACCTGCCTGGTTTTAGAGATACCTGTCACAGACCTCTGGGGGACCTTGCTGGTCCGTGGCTCGTAACTGACAGACAAACGAACCTTTGACACACACTGAACCCGAACGCACACAGAGCGCACACGACAATCTTTATTGCAAGTACAGGTAATACAATAGACAGTTGACTTCCCGCTGTGTGGCCACCTATTGCCTGCACCCTCTGGCCGAATGGGCTTTACAATCGCCTCGTTCCCCAGTACGTTCTACAAGCAATCTCCTGGTGTACAAACCACAGCACGGCGGGATACGCTCTTTTCTATCGCCACGCCGACCTACCAGAGGTCACCACCTCTGTCTAGTGCAGGGTCAGAGTGCCAAGGTTAGACATACTCTCACAGAACACGTACCTAAATGAATTAACTGGTCAGAAGTAACTGGAACCTATTTACCTCTTACGGCACAACATAATACCTTGTACTAGTTAAATACACAACACAAAAACTATCCTATTCTAACAGAACACTGTACATAATCTATGCAGTCACTAACAGAAATATCCTAACTCTAATATACTATCACTGTCTCGTTAACACGTCTGCTTCGTCTGACCGTCGCACACCGAATGTCCGTGTTCTCTCCACCTCGTGTCTCTTGACCCCGTTCACCAGCTCAGTCCCAAAACGGGTTGCGGACTTGTCTACAACAAAGTTCACTCTTTCTTGTCGTGGCCAAGCGCTTTATCCTGAGCGCTGGTTTCACCGTGCAATAACAGAGCAGACTTGACCAGTCACGGCCCTGACCTTTGTGTCAACTCTGGGGTGTCACCTCAACACGCACACCTTACGGTGTGGTACATTCCGCCACTGACTGTACTCACAGGGTTGTGACATTCACCCTTCCTCTGAACTGATACTTCCTGACAAAGTCAAGTATCAGCAAAGCCATCATGTACAGTCATCTTTTTAAATTCTATCGTCAACATTTAGTTACCTAAAAAAAAATAAGTCATGTACTTTTGGGTCAATCACCTAAGGACAAACTATCTGGCACATATTTGATGGGTATATACATTCAATGGGTAAGCCCCTCCCTGATGGGTAGAAATGGTATCAACCCTTGACACAAATACGTCACTACTCATTACACATTTAAATCATGTGGGTAATGATATAAATAATAATTTGGGTGGACACTCAAATCGTCCGGGACCCAATTACACCTTACTTCACTTACTGTGCAAGTAAGACGCCACTGTATACACTCCCAAGCCGTACCAACGACACCGTGATTAATAACAATGGGCGTCATGGACTATCTCCACAAGACTTGTCCATGGTTGTGAAAAGGAATCATGACCTGACTCCCCGACCTACAGTCGTATAATGTGTCCGCGAATCCGCAGCACCTGCCAAGACACTAATCACCCCATATGACCCACAGTGCAAAATAGGCAGTAAACAAATCTGTGGCCTGTTGGACACACTCCCATCCTCAAAGGATAGTGCTACTCCCTAATGTAGTCTCCATATATGCAATATTAGTTACAACATCATTAACTCTCCATGTGAGTGCCCTTGTAAAAGTACAATTTAATTTTTATTTAAACTATCAATTATCTTTCTATCTTAGAAAACAAAATAAACAATTTAAAAAAAAAAAATTAAAATTAAAGAAAATTTCCTTGTCACTGCTAAACTAAATTGTCCGTTATTTTAAAGTCTACTAGTTTACAAAACTATCTACTCATAATGCACTATTGTCTAACATATACTTTAACATTTACATTTGCTGCACATAAGACACTCAGTTAATATTAAACTCATTGAAATTTTTTATAGATGTAATGGATTTCAGATTAAGTTTCAAAAACTGAAGAATATTATTATAGCAATTCGGGAATTCTAAAACAAAAATGATTGCAAATCAAACGAATAACATTACTTATGTAATCTAACAA